ACGGGCACCAGCGTGGGTTCATCTTGGCCTACCCCACCAACTACAGTCTTCCCCCGAATACCGAATACAACGTACGGTCATTATAGCTGATGAATTTAGACTGAAAGATGTACCAAATTTCAGCTATAATGACCGTGCGTTGTATTCGGGGGAAGATTGTAGGCCTGGGAAAGGCCATGCCATGAAGTAGGTTCCGCATCCTACCGGTAGGTTTGGGGGTGCTCGGAAGTTTAAACTGCCACTAGAGATGACCCGTTGCCTACCGGTAGGTTTGGGGGTGCTCGGAAGTTTAAACTGCCACTAGAGATGACCCGTTGCGGCTTCGCCCGCAAAAAAACAGAAAACGAAAAAGCACAAAAGAAAAGAAAAAGCACAAGGAACTGCACTATCATCGTATGCCGCTTCTTTCACAAAAAAAGAAAAAGAAGAGCCTGAGAGCAGACAGAAATCCGCGTGCAAGGAAAAAAAAAAAAAAAAAAAAAAAAAAAAAAAAAAAACCGCGTGCAAGAAAACAGGAGGGAATACCACCGAAACTTTTTGTTTTCTTTATCTGTGAGTGTTTTGTTTGGGAAGCCTTTACGTTTGCAGCATCGGTTTTTTTTTTGTGCCGTGCGAGAACTCTGGACTTTTCTGTGGACTTTTCTGAGAAAATCCTGTCCGTTGGTCCCGTTGATGTTTTTGCTAAAGATTCCGATTCCGATTCAGACTCTTTGTTTGCTGTGTTCTCTGGATATGTTTGTGATCAACCGATCTTGCATGCATGTATGCCCCGTGATTACTTGTTGCGTTTTGACTCTTATGTGTGCAAGTGCATGCGCGTGTGGGTGAGTCTCAGTTTGGTGGGCTCCGATGATGTCATTGATGATTGGCCCAGGGAAGTCGTTGGAAGTCCCTCCAACAACAATAGGAGTGCCAGCCACTGATGTTAAGCAGGTGCTGCATTGTATGAATGCAAAAAATCAATCAGAGCATTCAATCTGCTTGCCATTTGCTCTTCGAGTGGGGGACTTGTCGGCGGGAGTAGCATTGACATGGGAGGGAGCCATAATGCCTTTGCGTTCATCTTGCAACATTTCCTGGAAGGCAAGGGAGACAAAGAAGAAACGAAGTAGCACGTGCCCCCCCTTCTCTCTCTCTCTCTCTCTCTCTCCTGTCTCTTATACACATCTAGATGTGTATAAGAGACAGTTCTAGGACTGTATCAGAAAATACCTTTTTTCTTACATCATCCTTGCGCAGGGGCCACGCTAATCTTCTCTGTATCGTTCCGACTTTAGCGGATATTCCAAAGGTCGCAGAAAATGCCTATTGGTTGGAATACGTGCGCCAGAAAGGAAAACGCCATCACCCCAATGTTAGTACTCCTCGTGCTCTTGCACTCTTGCAAGCACCTAACTTGGGCGGTTTGCCGTCACAAAGAGGACACTCACTCCTCTGTCTCTCATATACACCGCAGTAGAGACTCTTGACCTATTGTCCTGCCACATTGGTGATTCTGCTTCACTTCGTTTTCGACACGATGCCTCTGAAAAACTTCACAGATTTTGTCAGCGGCGAATTCGCTGCGACCACGTTGTACATGATCTGCAGAGCGAGTTGCCGATTTATCACATCACATTACCATAACAACAGGCAACACAGAGAAAGATATCATTTCGCCACTCCATTCCTTCTGTCCGATTCGAATGAAAAGCTTGCATGCACCGGGAACAGCAAAGGTCATCGATTTATCACATCATAGTACCATAGCAACAGGCAACACAGAGAAAGAGAGAACGGGATCATTTCACCGCCCCATTTCTTATGTCCGATTCGAATTAAAGGTTGCATGCACTGGCAACAACAAAGGTGCGATAGTAACAAACACTGACCATAACAAAAGTGATTTGGAACAATGATGGCGGTACTTCATCGGTGACTTGGAACCATGATGACGGTACTTCGACGGTGACTTGGGACCATAACGACACGGATAACACGAAGAACAATTGCAGCGAGAGCAAATGCACATTACCTTCAGTAAGGACAAAACAATGAGACGAACGGGAACAAGGGTCGCACAACCGATCTGCTGGCATCAGCGTCCTGGCATTGTGGCACCAACCATGGCTGGTGCGCGTTGCAACATCGCCTCCCACCCGTGAGGACCATTCCCATGTCTTCTTCTTCTTCTTCTTCTTTTCCTCCTCCTCCTCCTCCATTGTAATCACTGGCCAAATCGATCAGGGTCGCGGCATTGCGGCACCAACCATGGCTGGTGCGCGCCGCAACATCGCCTCGCACCCGTGAGGACCATCCCCATGTCTTCTTCTTCTTCTTCTTCTTCTTCTTCTTCTTCTTCTTCTTCTTCTTCTTCTTCTTCTTCTTCTTCTTTTCCTCCTCCTCCTCCATTGTAATCACTGGCCAAATCGATCA